AAAAAAAAAAAAAAAGAGACACACTGAAGTATTTATATGAGAAATGATAGGATACCTGGGGTTTGTTTTGAAATAATCGGGCAGGGTGGGGAGAGATGAAACAGGACATATAGGTCCTGAGTTAATGACTGTGATGTCAGGTGATGGGGTCTGTTACACTACCCTCTGCTTGTATATGTTTGAATTTTTCCATAATGGTTTTCAAGGCTTTTTAAAAATCAGGATAAAGCATTCCCACTTGGCTCTGGAGCCCACCAGCAACTGTGAGCATCTGCTCCCCCGGTGACTGCCAGAGAGCGGAACCTCAAACTCTGTCCCCCAGGGCACCCGTTTAGGCTCTGCTCCGGCTCAGCCTCCGAGCGGCCAGACCTGGGCAGCTTCTGCCTGTTTCACCAGCCCTGCTCTGCTCTGGCCACCAGCCTGTCCTCAGAAACAGCCCATGAAACAGCTAGGGATTCACCCAGTGCCCTTGTCACGCAGACAGGAGGGGACCTTGAGGAACAATGCCGTCCTCCCCAGAGGCAGGAAAATCTGTTTCTCCTGAGCAAATGGTCCCGGTTTTACTCTGTAACTGCTGCTTTGTCCTAGTTACTAGCAAGCGCACAATCTAACTTTTGCCTAATTTTATAAAGAGTGGGACCTCACTCTTAAGGTCCCTCATTTTCCTGTCTCCTTTTACTAACTTCCCACTATTTGGGACTCTTTATTCTGTTATGTACTGGGTAGGCAGCCTGGTCCCTGGGGTACCTTCCATCTGAGCAGCTTCCCAGGGGCCCCTCTCTCGCCCCGCCAACCTTGCCCCACCTGCCCGGACCACTCACTGTGCATGATGGCTTGGAGCTCATACTGGGGCCTCAGGATCAGGGACTGCCAGGGGAGGGTGGAGCAGGTGAAGAGGCGGTCACTCAGGGCTGGGTCTTGCAGGGCCTGGAGCAGGGGCTGAGGGGCACCAGGCTCCCACTCCCAGAAGGGCCCCTTCTGGGCGAGGGGCAGGTGTAGAATGAACTGCTGGGTTTCAGTGTCTAGCACACAGCGGGCATGGTAGGTCCCATGGTAGGCTTCCACATCCTCGAGCAGGAGGGGCTGGTCCCTGGGCACCACCCTGGCCTCTGTGCTGATTTTGTGTGTTGACATGAAGCCAATGGGCAGCTTCCTGGAGCGCTGGGTTGCAGCAGAGAGCAACTCCTCCAAGGTTCTGTAGCTCTGAGGGCCGGTGAGGGGGGTGAAGCAGCCTGTGGGGCACAGGAGAGGGTGTCAAGGCGGGATGGCACCTTGCTGGGTCCAGGGCCACACATACCAGGCCCTGGTCTGCCGGAGAGAACCCCGTCAGAATCCCCCAAAGACAAGCGCCAAGCATCTGGACATCCAGGCTGCAGGGCTGAGGGGCAAAAAGCAGCCAGTGACCATGTGTGAAGGGACAGTGACAGGCAGAGATGGGGACAGTTCCTCCTTACTCGGAGAGGCAAGAACACAGAGGGATTGTCCACAGAGCAGGGATGGACTTCCCAAAAGACACTGACAATGGCCACATCTGCCTACCTCCTGAACCATACCTACCTCCAACTCTGCCAACTTTGCTTCCATATTCCTCACCACCACTCCAATCCCATACATCCAACACCTATCACCCCATGCTGGGGCAGCATTGTCCCCCTCTCTCCCAAATGAGAAACCCAGGAGCTCCTAGCCAAATGACCTCTGACCACCCCCCTTCACCCCACATCCTGTCTGCCAATTCTGGTGGCCCTACTGTTCTTCCCCCATCCACTTCTCCCCCTGTCCCCATTCACGCTTCTCCTGCCACTGTACCAGCCTAAAACAGTCCACATCCAGACATCGCTTCCAGAGTTTTCCTGCCCCAAAACGTCCAGCACGAGTCTAATCAAGGCAACATCACACTAAACCCAGACTGAAGGACATCCAAAAGCACTGGTCTAGACTCTTCAAAAAGTTGATGTCAAGACAAAGGCTGAAGGAGATTAGGAAATCGATATGTAATCTGGGGTCTTCTGGGTGGCTCAGTCAGTTAAGCATCTGACTCTAGATTTTGACTCAGGTCATGAACTCAGGATCATGAGATCAAACCCCACGTCTGCACTGGGTGTGTACGTGCTAAAGATTCTCTTGGGCGCCTGGGTGGCTCAGTTGGTTAAGCGACTGCCTTCGGCTCAGGTCATGATCCTGGAGT